CACCTAATGTATTCTGCTATCCAACTCCCAATGGTTTAGTTTTTTTAAAAATTGGTGTATACATGTAAAGTGTATGCGTACAAGTTCTGACAATTAAGTTTGCGAACTTGTTGCAACGACGTTGCCTACCTTTTTTGATATCAGAGGGATTATTCATTACAAATTTGTACCAACTGGACAAACAGTTAACCAAGCTTACTATTTGGAAGTGCTGAAAAGGCTGTGTGAAAAAGTTAGACGAAAACGACCTGAATGTTTTGCCAACAATTCATGGTTCTTGCATTACGACAATGCACCAGCTCACACAGCACTGTCTGTGAGGGAGTTTTTAGCCAGAAAACAAATAACTGTTTTGGAACACTCTCCCCACTCACCTGATCTGGCCCCCAATGACTTCTTTCTTAACCAGAAGATAAAGGGCCTATTGAAAGGAAGATATTTTGATGATATTCAAAATGAGAGCTCTTATGGCCATTCCAGAAAAAGAGTTCAAAATTGCTTTGAAGGGTGGACTAGACACTGGCATGGGTGCATAGCTTACTAAGGGAGGTAGTTCAAAGGTGACCGTAGTGATATTCAGCAATGAGGTATGTAACACTTTTTCAAGGATGACTTCATGAACTTAATTGTCCGACCTTGTATTATGTGTACAGGTTGATGGATTTTTATATATGTACACACCTGTTTAGCTACTCCCAGGTTAAGACATAGAGTATTTCCACCACCCCAAAAGGTTGACTTATATTCTTTCTCGGTCACTCCTCACCCTCAAAGGTAACTACTATTCTTCTCCAATTGCCATGGATAAGTTGTGCGTTCTTGAGCTTTATGTAAATGGAGGCATAGAGAATATTCTTTTGTGTCTTATGCTTTACTCAAAATGACTATGAGATTCAACCATGTAGTAAATAGCAGTTCTTTCCTTAACGTTGCCTGTAGTATTCTGAGTTTGACATGTTGTCTTACATTTAATTCCCTGACCTTTCTTCTATTTTGTATATATTTAAGGTTCCTAATTATGTTAGCTAGTATGACTGCTTCCCATGAATCATGACACTAAGTACATTACATCAGTTAATCTTTCCAATAGTGTGAGTTTGGTAGACCATTAATCCATTTTACAGATGAGATAACCAAGGCTCAGTAACTTGCACAAAGTCCCATAGATAATAAGAGGTAGAGCCAGTATTGAATGCAGGGCCTTCTCATTTATTCAGGAGCCTGAGTGCTTAGCTAGTGTATTATCATGCCTCTCATTCTTGGTTCTTTGACAATAATCACCACTGAGAGGTGGACTCCAGAAAACATGCAAGCTTCCTTCTAGTTCAAGGACTTTTCCATTTTTCAGCCTCTTTTCCTCCCCTTCCATCGCCCCATCTACTGGTTCTAAGACACAATCAAGCAGACTGGTGAAGTGGGGGCTGGCACTTGCCAATGTGTCATGGAGATTTCCCCAGCCCCGTCTTCAGATGAGCACATCTGTTGGAAGCATAGATTCTCCATTCAGCTGTCTTTCTATAGGAATGAATGCTCCTATTTGCTACCTCTCTGATCACTCCCCAAATTCCTGTGCTTGATAAGTATTATACAAATAATAGAAGACTCAGCTCTGCTCTGTGGTTCCTGTTAAGGTTACACCTAAATTGTCTCTGAAAAAGAATTATCTGTTCTGTTGAAGGAAATGTTTGAACTTCCTTTGTCTTTAATGACTAATAAATCCTCAGCAGAAGGAAAGTTATTCTTTTTTGTTTTTAAAGATTTTATTGGGGAATTGGGAGAGGGGAACAGCGCTGGGAAATCCGGGGAAGGGGAACATACAAGTTGCTGTCCTTTTGTTCTTCAGTCTAGTTGTGGAGGATGTTGCTTCACTGGCCCATGTAGGTATTATCATTGCGCTCTTCCTGGGCAAGGCAGATCGCTTGCTGGCCTCTGGACGGCCACTCACGGCGGCTGCTGGCTGCTCACGCTGGCTGCCAGCCACACACACGGTAGCTTATGGCAGCCCACTGCAGCAGGGGCAGCAGCCTACGCTGTCCCAGCGAGTCATGGCAGCCCAGCTCCAGGTTGAGCTGTTGTTCACCATCTTAGCTGTAGAGGGCACAGTGTCACTGGCCCCCATGTGGGATCTGAACCGGGGCCCTGCTGCTTAGAGCTGGTGTCCCAAGCCAGCTCTTAACCAACGCGCCACTCGGCTGGCCCGAAAGTTATTCTTAAATACAAATTACCACAGGCAAATTATGCTTCATTTCCTTTTTCATTTTGCTACTTATGGTTGGAAAATTGCTGGTCAGCTTACTCCATGGTATTAACTTGAATAGATTTAAAAAGATATTAAGGTGCTTTGCAGCAGTTTTAAACCTTGCTTTTGTTTGGTATCTGAATAAAAAGTCTCTGCATACACTGATGTTTATGAATTTTTCCATTTTTTTGCCTATTTTCTTTTTAAAGATTTTATTGGGGAATTGGGGGAGGGGAACAATGTTGGGGAATTGGGGAAGGGCAACAGTCAAGTTGTTGTCCTTCAATCTCAGTTGTGGAGGGCGCAGCAAGCTCAGCTCCAAGTCCAGTGGCGCCGCTCAGCTCAAGGTGCTGTGTTCAATTAGTTGCGGGTGGGCATAGCCACCATCCCATGCAGGAGTGGAACCAGCAGCCTCGTTGTTAAGAGCGCATGCCCTATCCATTGAGCCTTCCGGGCGGCAGCTCAGCTCAAGGTGCTGAGTTCAATCTTTAGTTGCGAGCAGATGTAGTCCACCATCTTGAACAGGCAACCTTGTTGTTAGGAGCACGTGCTCTCACCAGCTGAGCCATCCTGCCACCTTTTGGCAGCTCAGCTGGGCGCAGCTCACTGGCCCATGTGGGAATTGAACCAGCGACCCTGTTGCTCAGAGCTCGCACTCTTGAGCAAGTTCTTAACCAACTGAGCCATTCGGCTGGCCTAGTTTGCCTATCCTTTATGATGTATGCAGATCTAAAAAATTTAGGGTTCTGTTTCTAAGTATATAGACATGGTGGTGTTTGGATTTGTAAAGGTGGGTTGCCTGTGAAATAATTTTGTGTGTTCTAACAGGAAATGAATTTTAGGCATGAAAAATGGGATGTTCTTTTCTTTAATCTGTCATCTCACTATTTTTTTTCTTAAATCACATAAAATTCATTTATCTGTTTATCTTTCTGGGATTCTAATTTATATCCTAAGATTTGTGCTGGGGAAAGCTTTGGGAAAGGTTTTTTTTGTTTTGTTTTGTTTCAAAGAGCCATAAACTGTCTGGACGACCAGTATGGTAGGGCAACCAAATGATCGTTCAGGGAAAGGTGTTCTTTATGGAAGCATTCCATATGGAAGGAATGAGAGAATCACAAACCACTCTTCTGCAACTCTAATGAAATAGTGGATCTAGGCAAACATTATCAGCGATTGCTAAAACTATTAAGTGAAAGATCAATGAGGAACTTTATCATGGCTGATCAGGAGGACAGTACTGGAACCCACCATCAATCTTACCACCACTGAAAGTAGACAACTTGATAGTGTACCTTCTGATGTGATGAAGTCGTCAGTACTTAGCATCGCCTATAAAGTGTTCTTGCAGTTAGCACTGGACCTGAGTCTCACCCACCCTCCAGCTCTACCTGCCAGAACAGAAGGAAATACAGGAGACTGAGCTGCGGTTCTCAGCCTTCACTGCACATTAGACTCACACGGGGAATTTAAAAGTCATGATGCCCAGGGGCTGGCCGAATGGCGCGTTGGTTAAGAGCTGGCTTGGGACGCCAGAGGGCCCCGGTTCAGATCCCACATATGAGGACCAGTGACACTGCCCTCTACAGCTAAGATGCTGAACAAGAGCTCAACCTGGAGCTGGGCTGCTGTGAGTCGCCGGCAATGGTGTAGGCTGCAGCCCCTGCTGCAGTGGGCTGCCATGGGCTACCATGTGTAGCCAGCAGCCAGCGTGAGCGACCAGCAGCCACTGTGAGGGGCTGTCCAGAAGCCGGCGACTGATGTGCCTCGCCCGGGAAGAGCGCAATGATGGTGCCAACTTGGGCCAGTGAAGCAATGTCCACCACAACTAGACTGAAGAACCAAAGGACAGAAACTTGTCTGTTCCCCTTCCCCCAATTCCCCAGTGCTGTTTCCATCCCCCAATTCCCCAATAAAAATCTTTAAAAAAAAAAAAAGAAGTCATGATGCCCAGGCTATGTCCTCGACCAATTAAATGAGCTCTTGGCCTGGGCATCAGTATTTTTTTCTAGCTCCTTCAGATGTTACAGTACAAGCCAAGGGTGGAAACCAAGGGAGCAGAAGAAAAAGTTAAAAGACAAGACAAGAAAACAATCATGAAATACAGGATGTGAGAAAGTCCATAGGACAAATGATCATTGTTTTCTAACACATATATGTAGCCGTAGAAAAAAGGCTGGAAGGGGGACACACTGGTAGATTAAATGCAACTTAAGAAACATAGGCCAAATGTGATGTGGGGACTTTATTTTGACCCTAATTCCAAGAAACCAACCATTCCAAGACATCTTCTGAAGAATCAGGAAAATCTAAATACAGACTGAGTATTCTACCAAGCATTAATGTTGTTACTTGTGATAATGGTTTTGCTAAAAAAAAAAATCTTAGAGACTCATACTGAAGTATTTATGGATGAAATACAATGTCTGGTATTTGTTTTAAAGTTCCCTGGCAAAAATAGTGAGGGAATACATAAAAACAGACACAAAAGATTGATAAAATGTTGATAATTATTAAAGTGGGATGATGGGTATATGAGGGTTCATTTCACTATTCTCTCTACTTTAGTGTTTTAAAAATTCTCATAAGAAAAGATTTAACAGGAGGCATAAAGGTGAAATATGTGATAACATATCTCTTGTATTGGGATACATTATCAGTAGAAAGTCTAGGAAGTTCATATGGAAGACAAACCTTTATATATTGAAGCATACAAAATGTATCTGTTCAGTTATTAATCATATTTATATCTTGTTTGCAGGTGGTGCTAGGTCGCCTCCTTCTACTGTTATCAACCAAAATGAAACGTTCGCCAAAGTCTTTTTTAAGCCTAGTGTGATACAACAAGCCAGGATTGCCCAGAATGGCATTCTGGGAGACTTCATCATTCAATATGATGTCAATAGGGAACAGAGCGTTGGGGACATCCAGGTAAGGGGTTCGTTGTTGGTCTTTCTTGTTCATTGCCTGATACTTCTAGTTAGACTCAGAACTGGGGTTTCCAGTACTTATCTAAGGGAGACAGAACTTTGTGATTCTTAGGAAATTTGTTTTAACCCAAAATGTGTCTCCAGGGAGACTAGTGAGGTTCCCTGGCTGGAGGCTGAGGGTATCTATTTCTTGCTTCAATAATCTGGAAAGCAAATGAAATCTACAATTTTCCCTGTGGTATTTTAGATGAAGTTAGAATTTTAGCTGTTCTTCAATTTTAATTAAAGGAGACTGGTCCCTGGCTCAATTCCCTTTAGGTTTTATTGCTCCAGAGACAGGGTGGGAATATTAAAATGTATTAATGTGCATCCAGAATATAGATAACCTTGATGTCTCAACTTGTAAGATGTTGGGTAAAAACTGGATAATGAAGGAAGCAGGATTTCCAAGTGACAAGGGGGCAGAAAAGGATGGATAGTTTAAAGTGAATTAGTCAACGTAGTCGATAATTTTTTAAGGGATGATTTTATCCTTATACAGATTAAATTAGCGATTTGTTCTCTTGGAAGGATCGAGACCATAGATACTTCTGTCCTGGGTATGGAATCTGCCCCTAGATCCCGTTTTATGCTGTCTTTGACTTTTTGAAGCTCCCTCCACAGACTGTCCATTTTAATTAGTTTTTCTGCCTATTCTGAGTGCTACCATTTTTACTTTCTTTCCTCCCCCAACCCCCAGGTTCTAAATGACTATTTTGTGCACTACTTTGCTCCCAAAGACCTTCCTCCGTTACCCAAGAATGTGGTATTTGTGCTTGACACCAGTGCCTCCATGGTAGGAACCAAACTCCGGCAGGTAAGTGAGTGCCAGACACCCATTTTTTTTTCCTCTCACTTTTGCCTGGGACAATGATGTTCTCTGTGGGTAAAATTCAATTGATGCCAAATGTCTGCATTACCATTCAGCTATTCTGCCTACAGAGGACGTTCCTGAACTGATTCAGTTAAGCCATTGACTATCATTTCATCATAGTGCTTTCAAGAGAGCAGAGGGACATGTTATAGAAACACCTTGAAATAAAGGGGGCCTAAAGAGTGGATATGTGAGACAGGACTGCATTGAGGGTCACTCAGTAACACTATCGTGGATGGAATAATGGAATAATTCTGTTCAGTAATGATGTCCTTTGAGAACAATGGCAGACAGTCATTGGCACTCTCCCCTCCCCTCCCCCCGGCTTATCCTTAGAACAGAGGATTTGTATCTCAATAATTATTAATCATATTGTGATATTCTCAAAATATATAGGATGAATCTTAAAATTCTAGGGATGGGAGGGACATTAAGGGACTATGCAGTGTATACTGAAAATTAAGTTATCCTATCCTGAAAACATTTCTATCTACACTTTTTTTAAACAAACCAATGGAAAAAGCTATTCTTATCTTACTCTGATATCCTGAATATCAGAAAATTGCATTTATTGGGTTGTCGGACAAGTCATGACGTATTTTATCTATGTTTTTCAAGGTTATTTATTTATATAAAGAACAAAGATCAATCAATGATATATAGCCCATTTTGTTCGATAACCTTTTCCCATCTTTCAGTGCGATTCATAATTCCTTGTTCATTAGAAGCACCTGTCTTTATTTGCAAAAAACTGAAAAAGGTGCTGATTTACAGCCTCATCTGAATTGAACGTTATACCATGCCAGGAGTTTTGAAGAGAACGAAACAAGTGGAAGTCTGATGGTGCAAGGGCAGGCGAGTATGGTGGGTGTGGCAACACATCGCATCCAAGCTCCAATAATTTTTGACGGGTGATCAAACTTGTGTGTGGTCTCGCACTGTCGTGATGGGACACAACTCCTTTACAATTAACAAGCTTTGGACATTTCTGGATGATGGATTCATTCAAACTGTCCAATTGCCGACAGTACACATTTGAATTGATTGTTTGGTTCCTTGGTAGGAGCTTGAGAAACATGACACCTTTAAAATCCTACCACACTGAGAGCATAACCTTCCTCTGATGCATGTCTTCTTTTGTTGTTATTTGAGGCAAATCATCACGTCGGGGCGGGGGGGACCAAGACCGTTTGTGCACCACATTGTTGTAAACAATCCACTTCTCATCACCAGTTATCAGTCGCTTCAAAAAAGGATTGTTTCCTCATCTTTAATGAGCGTATTGCAGATGTTTATACATGCTGTCAAATGAACTTCTTTGAATTCATGCGGAACCCAAATATTGAGCTTGCTTACGTGTCCCAGCTTCTTCAGGTGGTCTTGAATGCTTGAATGATGGATGTTCAATGTTTCTGCAATCTCTCGTGTTGTGTAATGTGGGTTTGACTCAATCAATGCCTTGATTTTGTCGTAGTCAACCTCAGTGGGCCTCCCTGACCGAGGAGCATTGTTGAGATCAAAATCACCAGCACGGAATTTCGTGAACCATCGTTGCCACTGACGTTCTTGTAAAGCACTGTCACCGTAAACTTTATGCAACTTTTCAGAAGCTTGACACACGTTCTTCCCTTTATGGAAGTAAAACAGTAAAATATGGCAAAAATGCACAGTTTGGTCTTCCACCTTCAACTTGTTGTAAAATCTCCAAAACTCAACCAAATCACTCAATTTTTTTTAGAATGAAGCTAGAACTGTCAGCTGTCAAATGACATGGCAATAACATAGATGCAAATGACTCTAGTACTTCAAAAAATTAACTAGTGCCATCTGTCACAAACATGCATCGTGACTTTTCTGACAACCCAATATAATGTATTTTCAACTCATGTAATAGAAAACAGAAAGAGCTACTTACTGGCTGCCAGACCAACTGATATCTCTACATCCATTAAAAACTTAGATCTCTTAGCTTTTCTTTCTTAACTCATTATCTGTTTTTATTAATTAGTAATAAATATGTGGTTTAATGAGGAAAATGTATCTCAAACTTTGTAAGGACCCTCTATTTCACCTGTTTCCACCCACCCCTAGGGCCCACTCCACAGACATTTGAACCATTGATCCTAGCTGATAAACTGTTGAACCTATTTTCTCTGTTATTACTTGTGAATGGTCTTTTTGGGCCTTTAGATTTAAAAATCATGCAGTATAATATATTGATCTTTTCTTCATGGCATTTGATTTTTCTTCACTCCAAAACAGTTAAAAATATTTTCCAAAATGTGATATAAAGATTAGGTTTAACTGTTTTCTTTCAGAGGATAGCCAAATATGATTTCTCATTAATACAGGGGGAAGACGACCTCACCCGGTAAGTCAGCTTCCTATAGGTCTTCAATATCGCTTTCTTGTACAGAAGTCAGCCCTCTGACGCCTCCACTTTTACTGCTTTTCTCTCCTTTGATAGCTCTGATCTTCCATCTGGTGTTATTTTTTTTTGTTTGCCTAAGGAACAGTTGTTGGTATCTTTTTAAATGTGGGTCAGCTGGTAAAGAAATTTCTCAGTGCTTGTCTGTCTGAAAATGATTGATTTCATTCTCATTCTTTAAGGATACATTTACTGGTATGGAGTTCTAGGTTGGCAGTATTTTCTTTCAGTCCACTGAAGATGGATTCTGTTGTCTCCTGGCTTCCTTTGTTGCTGGTGAAAAGTCAGTTATATTTTTAACTTGTTCCTCTAAAGGCAACTTTTATTGTCAACTGCTTTTAAGATTTTCCTTTGTCTTTAGCTCTCCGTAGATTTAATACAATGGTTCTTGGTGTCAATTTCTTCTTATTTTTTTCTGCCTGAAGTTCCTGGGACTTCATGAATTTGTGGACTCATGAGAAAATCCTCAGCCATTGTCTCTGATATTGCTTTGGCTAATTTTTCCTTCTGGGATTCCAATGCGAGATTTTCTCTCCATATTTTCTGTGTTCCCAATGCTCTCTTCTATTTTGCCTTTCCATATTTCACTCCAAAACTATCTTCCGATTCACAGATTCTCTCTTCAGGTATGTCTCATATGCTGTTAAACTCACCCATCAGGTTATTTCAGTTGTTACATTGTTTTAGTCTTAGAATTTCCATTTGGTTCTTTTGCAAATCTGCTCTGTTACTTTTTAGAATGTTCAGTTATTTTACAAACTTTTTAATCATTGTTTTTTCCTCAAGCACAGTAAACAGCTATTTTAAAGTCTGTATGTCATTATTCCAAATTCTGGAGATGCTTAGGAGCTGTGTTTGTTTCTCATCTTCTCTCCTTGTGTGACTGGTTGTATCTTTGATTGCTTGATAGACATTATATTAAAAAATGTGTTTGTAGAAATAGTGGAGGCCTAATATGATGATTTTGCCTATTGAGAAAGTTTTGATTTGTTTCTGTTAGGTAGGTGCCTGGGGACATTACAGTCTGGGATCACTTTAGACCATTTTTAGGGCTTGAGATTTTTCTGGGCAGCAAAATGACTCAATCCTGGATAGCAATTCTTTCAAAATGGGTTTATTTTTGTTTTTCATCAAAAGTAGTGGGTTTACCAGAGCACCTATCCTTGTTGGGCCCTGGACTTCAACTTTTGGCCTCTACACTACTAAATGTTCAGCCTCTCAATACCTCTTTCACCTTGACAGATTTCCCTTAGACAAAAGTGATCCCCAATACTGAGCCGACCTCTTTACATTTTCATCTTCTCCCAGATGTTTTTTCCCACTATTTTGTTAACTCTCTGATACTTTCAAGAATTTAAAAAAATAAACATTTTGTTTACCTTTAAAATTTGTTCTCATTGGAAAGGTTGGATACAGGTTAACTGTAGGTTTTCTTTATGGGCACCATTTCCCCAAGTTGTATTCACACATAATGAATGAAGCATTATTTTGTAGTGGTTGGTTGGTTATTGATGTTTGAGAGGTCACACAGCCTTTCTATATTTATGAAGTACCCTGTAAAGTTCTTTGCTTTATGTACTCCAAGTTTTGTTTTTATTTAAAGATTTTTATTGGGGAATTGGAGGGATGGGAACAGTGCTGGGGAATTGGGGAAGGGGAACAGACAAGTTGCTGTCATTTTGGTCTTCAGTCTAGTTGTGGAGGACATTGGTTCACTGGCCCAAGTTGGCACCATCATTGCACTCTTCCCGGGCGAGGCACATCAGTTGCTGGCCTCTGGACGGCTGCTCACTGCGGCTGCTGGCCGCTTATGCTGGCTGCTGGCGGCTCACGCTGGCTGCTGGCTACATGCGGTAGCCCATGGCAACCCACTGCCACAGGGGTTGCAGCCTACACCGTCGCCAGCGACTCACAGCAGCCCAGCTCCAGGTTGAGCTGTTGTTCAGCATCTTAGCTGTGGAGGGCAGTGTCACTGCCCTCATATATGGGATCCGAACCGGGGCCCTCTGGCTTCCCAAGCCAGTTCCTAACCATTGCGCTACTCGGCCGGCCCTGTACTCCAAGTTTTTAAGTGCCATCATTGGCCAAGTTGTTTTTGTGACTTTATTGGCTGGATAATAAATGTTGACAGAAGGATGATCATGGCTTCTTTTGAGACCACTGTTGGACACAGGGTACAGTGTTAATTAGGTCTTGCATCTGACCCAGTATGATAATTCCCATTTGGATTTTGAATAAATTAACAGCTACTGAGTGGTTGCCATACACTAGTTTTCTCCATGTATCTTGTTAAACTCCTATACATCTATGAAATGTCAGCTTTTCGTTTTTTCTTTAAAACAATGAGCTTCCGGTGGGCAGGGTTTGGGTTTCCTCTGACAACACATAACTTGATGAAAATATTGATGATTAAGGTTACTGCAACCAATCTGAATTTGTGTTACCACCAAATATTTTGTGTTTTGATATTTTTACTTAACATCATTTTATAAATAATATTATTAAAAACCTGATT